GCCCTGAGTGAGAAAATGAAATTAATGCACGCAGTTTCTCTTAAAGACTATTCCTAATAGAGACAAAATGAATCTGGGACTTAGCCACCGGGCACAATGACATCTTGCTGCTGAGAGTAAGGGAGAGAAGAAACAAAAAACGCACTCAGGACGCTAAAGACAGTGAAAAGTCACAGACAACCTGTCTGTCGCTGAGTCCCTGGGACACTAGACCAAAGTGTGCCTGGGGAGCGCTGAGCCTCCCCCAGGACCCTGCCTGGCAAAACACAGCAGCCCTGAACCATTCATGAAGGATTCGTCAGTTACACTACATCCACACGCCCCCCTTTGGCCTGTGAGCACCTCCATATGCTGAGCCATAAAATCAACATAACACCATCCCAGTCACTGGGTCACTGCCATGACAGTGACATAGCCATGAACAGAGTTTGGCAAACTGGTGCCACACAGTGTGTGCTCAGGAATGGGCACAATTACCATTTCATCGTGGGACACTAGGAAGTCAGAGAGTCACAGGGACCCAGGCTCTCAGACGTGGAAGCCACACATCTCATGGGACTTCGAATGTGGCCAGTCCAAGCTGAGACAGACTGAAAGTCCAGTGTCAAAAGCCTGATTTTGAAAACGCAGGACAAAGAACAGAATGTGAAATTTCATTAACTTTTTTCTATTGATCACATGTTGAAAATATTTTGGATATCCTTTTTATTTTTATTTTTTTATTAACTAGAGACGGGCCTCACTATGTTGCCCAGGTTGGTCTGGAACTCCCTGGACTCAAGCAATCCTTCAGCTCTGGCCTCCTGAAGGGCTGGGACAACAGGCGTGAGTCACTGCACCTGGCCCAGATATACTGTTATTTTAAATATATTGAAATTAATTTACCTGTTTCTTTTTTTCTCTCTCTTCTGGATTTTCTTTGTTGTTTGGTTTGGTTTTGTTTTTTGAGACAGTCTCACTCTATCACCCAGGCTGGAGTACAATGGCGTGATCTCGGCTCACTGCAGCCTCTGCTACCTAGGTTCAAGCGGTTCTCGTGCCTCAGCCTCCGGGGTAGCTGGGGTTACAGTCATGCATCACCACGCCTGGCTAATTTTTTTTTTTTTTGAGACCAAGTTTCACTCTTGTTACCCAGGCTGGAGTGCAATGGCACGATCTCGGCTCACCGCAACCTCCGCCTCCTGGGTTCAAGCAATTCTCCTGCCTCAGCCTCCCGAGTAGCTAGGACTACAGGCGTGCACCACCATGCCCAGCTAATTTTTCTATGTTTAGTAGAGATGAGGTTTCACCATGTTGACCAGGATGGTCTCGATCTCTTGACCTCATGATCCACCCGCCTCGGCCTCCCAATAATTTTAGTTTTTTTAGTAGAGATGGGGTTCCACCATGTTGGCCAGGTTGATCTCAAACTCCTGGCCTCAAGTGATCCGCCCGTGTTGGCCTCCCAAGTGCTGGGATTACATGCGTGAGCCACGGTGCCCGGCCACCGGTTTTTCATATAGCTCCTAGAACACTAAAAACTGCATAGGTGGCTCACATTTGTAGCTCCAATTCTGTTTCTATCGGACAGTGTTTATGGAAACATATTCACGTTATTTTTAATTTTTAAACTGCTTTTAATTTTTATCTTTTAACATTTTTTGTAGAGACAGGGGTTTCCCTGCATTACCAAGAATGGTCTTGAACTCCCAGTCTCAAGTGATCCTGCCACCGCAGCTTCCCAAGTCGCTGGAATTACAGGCATAAGCCACTGTGCCCTGCCTCCATGTTATTTTTTAAATTGAGATAAAATTCACAAACCACAAAACTCATCCTTTTAAAGTGTACGATTCCACAATTTTCAGTATATTCACAAATTTGTGCAACCATCACAACTATCTAACAGCCAGAACATGCTCATCACACCAAAATGAAGCCCCACACTTTCCCACTGCCGTCCCTGCCCATCTGCCTGTGCGATTTTGAGTCAAGAAAAAAGCAAGTTGCAGGACAGTATTACAGCAGCGACGTTTTGTTTAAAACTCATATAGGCCGTTAGCTCAGTGATTTCCCAGATACAAGAAAAAAAAACTAATATAGACCAGGCGAGGTGGCTCACATCTATAATCCCAGCACTGTGGGAGGCCAAGGCAGGCAGATCACCTGAGGTCGGGAGTTCGAGACCAGCCTGATCAACGTGGAGAAACCCCGTCTCTACTAAAAATACAAAATTAGCCAGGTGTGGTGGTGTATGCCTGTAATCCCAGCTACTCGGGAGGCTGTGGCAGGAGAATCACTTTAACCCGGGAGGTGGAGGTTGCGATGAGGCAGGACTGCACCACTGCACTCCAACCTGGGCAACAACAGCGAAACCCCATCTCAAAAAAATGATAATAAGAAAACTAGCATAAATGGGCTAGCCACAATGGTATATGCCTGGGAGGCTGAGGCTGGAGGCCCAGCACTTTGGGAGGCTGAGGCTGGAGAATCTCTTGGGCCCAATAGTTCGAGACCAGCCTGGCCAACATGGTGAAACCCCATCTCTACTAAAAATACAAAAAATTAGCTGGGCATGGTGGCGCATGCCTGTAATCCCAGCTACTCAGGAGGCTGAGGCAGGAGAATTGCCTGAACCCAGGAGGCAGAGGTTGCAGTGAGCCGAGATCGCGCCATTGCACTCCAGCCTGGGTAACAAGAGCGAAACTCTGTCTCAAAAAAAAAAAAAAAAGTTAACGTGACATGGTGGTGTTCCTGTGGTCCTGGTGATGTGGGAGGCTGAGGTGGGAGGATGGTGTGAGCCCAGGAGGTTGAGGCTGCACTGAGGTTTGATTATGTCACTGCACTCTAGCCTGAGTGACAAAGTGAAACCCTGTCTCAAAAAAAAAAAAACCTAAAAAACTAAAAACTGTTCTGTTCAAAATTGGTTGTTTTTTTTTTGAGACAGAGTTTCATTCTTGTTACCCAGGCTGGAGTGCAATGGCGTGATCTCGGCTCACCGCAACCTCCGCCTCTTGGGTTCAGGCAATTCTCCTGCCTCAGCCTCCCGAGTAGCTGGGATTACAGGCATGCGCCACCATGCCCAGCTAATTTTTTGTATTTTTAGTAGAGACGGGGTTTCACCATGTTGACCAGGATGGTTTCGATCTCTTGACATTGTGATCCACCCGCCTCGACCTCCCAAAGTGCTGGGATTACAGGCTTGAGCCACCGCGCCCGGCCTCAAAATTGTTAAAAAAAAAAAAAGAGGAAAAGAAAAAGAAAAAATCAAATATATATATGTAATAAATATATATATGGAAAGATAGATTTTATGCATTTTTTTTGAGAGTTTCATTCGTTGTCTAGGCTGGAGTGCAATGGTGCAATCTCAGCTCACTGCAACCTCTGCCTCCCAGTTCAAGGGATTCTCCTGACTCAGCCTCCCAAGTAGCTGGAACTACATGCCCAGCTAATTTTTAAAAATTTTTATTAGAGACAGGGTTTCACCATGTTGGTCAGACTTGTCTCGAACGCTTGATCTCGTGATCTGCCAGCTTCCTCCCAATAGTGCTGGTATTACAGATGTGAGCTACCACACCTGGCGAGACAGATTTTTTTTTTAAGATGGGGTTTCACCATGATGGCCAGGCTGGTCTCGAACTCCCGACCTCAGGTGATTCACCCACCTTGGCCTCCCAAAGTGCTAGGATTACAGGCGTGAGCCACTGCGCCCAGCCCGAGACAGATTGTTTAAAGAGAGTCTCACTCCGTCGCCCAAGCTGGAGTGCAGTGGCATGATCAAGGCTCGCTGCAACCTCAACCTACCCCTGTCCACCATCCTCATCCCCACCTCAAGCAACCTCCTGCCTCAGCCTCCCAGAATGCTGAGACCTCTGGCGTGAGCCAATACTTTGCCTAGACATATACAGATATACACAAATCTACATTTGTAGTGCCGTGTTTTGGTTGTTGTTTTTTTTTTAGAGGGAGTCTCGCTCTGTCACCCAGGCTGGAGTGCAGTGGCACGATCTCGGCTCATTGCAACCTCTGCCTCCCGAGTTCAAGTGATTCTCCGGCCTCAGCCTCCAGAGTAGCTGGAACTATAGGCGCCTGCCACCACGCCCGGCTAATTTTTTTGTAGTTTTAGTAGGGTCGGAGTTTCTGGCTAATTTTTTTGTAGTTTTAGTAGGGACGGAGTTTCACCGCATTAGCCAAGATGCTCTTGATCTCCCGACCTCGTGATCCTCCCTCCCAAAGTGCTGGGATTACAGGCATGAGCCACCTCGCCTGGCCCTGTAAATGCACTTTAAATGTCCAGAATGATTTACACCAAACTGTTAATGCTGGTTTTCTAAGAAATGAGAATTAGGGTGGGAGAGAAAAGAGAGAGGGGTGCATAGCCTTTATTTTTAAATACTCTCGAACTGCTTTTGTGGTTTAAAAAGAAAATGGGTTGAAATTCTGGTCGTAAATAACTCCTAGTGAACTCGGGTAAATAACTTTTTCACAGCACCGTCGACAGATGCCTTCAGCCGGAAGGTAGAGAGTCTCGTTTTGGATTTGCTTTTCATTTGGTGCTTTTAAAATAGAAAGCGCAGACAGAGGCGTGGTGGTTTCGCTCCGAGCTGCAGCAGCGCAGCACGGCCTCGGGACTCCCCGCACAGCCGCAGCCTGCGGCGCCGCTCGACCTGGGCGCCGCTCAGGGGCAGCCAGGGCAGGGGCGGTCCCGGGGTCCCCCTCCCCCAGGGCCGGCCTGGCGAAGGGCGGCGTCTCGGGACCCAGCGGATGCTGGGGGACCTGGGTAGGGAGGGAAGGCGAGCCTGGGCCTCCGGGGCCCCGCGTCGCCCAGAGAAGGGAGCAGGGGCAACCCGCTGCGCATCTCTGGGTGGCGCCCCGCAGCCACCCTCCAGGAAAGGGGAATCCCCGGGCCCCCCAACTCCGAGAGCGAGAGGATGCTCCAGCGAAGCCGAGGGTCCCTACTCGGAGCCCGGACCCCCAACCGCGATACCCCTCTCCTGCAACTCCACAGCCCCGTCCCCTACCTCGGCCCCAGGCTCGGGGGTCAGGAAGAGGGCGAGCTCGCGCGCTCCGCTGCGCATGGGCTCCTGCCGGTCGGCGTCCACGAGGAGCATCAGGAGGGCGGCGAGGTCCAGCTGGCGGAGGCTGCCTGGGAGCCCGTAGTTGCGCCCGGGTCTCAGAGCCCCGCCCCCAGCCCGCTGCATGCCCCGCGGCCGGCCTGGCGGAGGCGGGGCAGGTGCGCTCGCCGCGGCTGCAGCTCGCGGCTCCGCGAGCGCCGGGCCGAGCGGGCAGCGCCACCCAGTGGCAAGAGCCGCGCGCTGCGTCCGCCCCCGCAGCACCTGGGCATCAGGGCTTTGCAAACTAGCTTGCAGATGGCAGTCATCTGGAGCTCTTTCAGAATTTCCTAAGTCCGGACCACAGAGTCTCTGGGTTGGGACCTGGGCATCAGGATCTTTTGATGTTTGCTAGGTGGTTCCAACCGAATTGTTGAACCAAAGCTAAGTTTGAGAACTACTGGGGTAAGCTACCCCTCCCCATCGGAATCCCGGTAAAGCACGGGCTACCGCCCCCCGCGGACAATAGAACCCCGGGGAGCTTTTAAAAGCCGGGGAGCCAGGCCTCGCGCCAGGCCGAATAAGTCGGAATCCTTCGGGGTGGGGCTTGGGCATCAGTAGTTTCTAAAGCTCCCCAAGTGATTCCAACGGGCGTCCGGGTTAGAGAGGCGCTATCTTAGAGGAAGCCCAAAGCCGCCCTCCCCACTCCCCTGCCGCCAGTTCCCATGCTACTAGAGCATCTAGTTTGCAGCGGGCGAAGGGTCCTGGAAGGTAGGGAAACCCGAATGTAAAGGTCCTCGTCTTCCTCCTAGGGGCAGCTTTTAAAATAAGCTTCACCAGGAAATGATTGAGCACACTAAATTTGGCAACTGCCCCCCACGCCCTCCACGACCTCGGAGGCTGGCCTAGACCCTTTACAGGCCCTAGGGCTGAAGAGAGAGAGAGGCGCACCCCATCTCCCACCCCAGCAGTGTTAATGAAGAAAGTACTAAAAGGCAAATAGGCATAAGAAAAATCTAGAGTTTTGATTTTTGTGTGATACTTTTTATTTATTTATTTATCTGGAGACGGAGTCTCACCATGTCGCCCAGACTGAAGTGCAGTGGTGCGATTTCAGCTCACTGCAACCTCCACCTTCCGGGTTCAAGCAATTATCTCCCTGCCTCAGCCTCCCGAGTAGCTGGGATTACAGGTGCCTGTCACCACACCTGACTAACTTTTGTATTTTTTAGTAGAGACGGGGTTTCGCCATGTTGGCCAGGCTGGTCTCGAACTCCTGACCTCAAGTGATCCACCCACCTCAGCTTCCCAAAGTGTTAGGATTACAGGCGTGAGCCACTTCGCCTGGCCTGATGACTTTTCTTTAAATGTTAAATTGGCTTTTAAAAAAATGATTGCCTGGCAAGGTGGCTCACGCCTGTAATCCCAGCACTTTGGGAGGCTGAGGTGGGCGGATCATGAGGTCAGGAGTTTGAGACCAGCCTGACAAACATGGTGAAACCCCGTCTCTACTTACAAAAAAATAAAATACTTAGCCTGGCATGGTGACACGCGCCTGTAAATCCCAACTGTTCAGGAGGGTGAGGCAGGAGAATCGCTTGAACCTGGGAGGCAGAGGTTGCAGTGAGTGGAGATTTTGCCACTGCACTCCAGCTTGGGCAACAGAGCGAGACTCCGTCTCAAAAAAAAAAGGTAGGGGGCTGAGCTGCCTGGGCAACATAAGGAGACTCCATCTCTCAAATAATAATAATAAAAGAAAAAAATAAAATTGCAGAGTGTTGTCATGCACAACTGTAGTCCTAGCTAGTAGGGAGGCAGATGCAGGATTGTTTAAGGCCAGGAGTTGAGGCTGCAGTGAGCTATGATCGCACCACTGCACTCCAGCTTACCTGACACAGTGAACAAGAACACACCCTGTCTTTTTTTTTTTTTTTTTAATTGAGATGGAGTCTCAATCTTGTTGCCCAGGCAGAAGTGCAGTGGCGCAATTTTGGCTCACCACAACCACCCCCGCCTCCCAGGTTCAAGTGATTCTCCTGCCTCAGCCTCCCCAGTAGCTTGGATTACAGGCATGCATCACCACACCAGGCTAATTTTGTATTTTTTGAAGAGATGGGGTTTCTCCATGTTGGTCAGGCTGGTCTTGAACTCCTGACCTCAGGTGATCCGCCCATCTCAGCCTCCCAAAGTTCTGGGATTACAGGTGTGAGCCACCGTGCCTGGCTGGCTTTTTTTTTTTTTTTTTAAAGGGGGGCTGGTATCAAAGGTGCAAATAAATAAACAGACCGTCCCACACCTTCCTCTCCATTAAATCGGAATTGATATTGTAGTTGGCAACCCTAGGTGGGGCCTCAACAACACATTTGATCTGCCTTTTGTGTCCATCGCTGCACAATTCCCACTTCCAAATCTGCCCACTGCTAATTTCTCCCTATCCAAATGCCCAGACCTCCAGACCAAAGTCGTTTTCTGGAAAATTCTTGGCAGAGACTTGGGCCTGAAGTGCTTGTGCTTAAGGGTGTTATAGGAACTCACTGAGCCCACACTTGGCCATTCATCACTGTTGTGATTTCCCCGATGCTCCAAGCCCTCCTCGACATCCCCTAGGAGCCAGTCTCAGACGTGTGCCGGTGCCTGCTGCTGGCCGGCATCTCCCACAAACAGCCCAGGACTGGCCTCATATTGGCCTGAGCACAGCAAACTTCTCCTGGCAGATAAATCTCAGAAACATAAAGCTAAGGGAAAAAAAAGCAGAAGGCTCTGCAGGGCACTGTACCATTAGCAGTTTTTAAACCATATAGAACCACACTGTATATTGTTTATGGACACCGACAGATGGAGCAAAGTACAAAGCTGTGCGTTGGAACGAGGCACCCGTGTTCCCACAGTGGCTCCCTTACGGTGGGGGAGAAGACACTCGGGAGGGGTATGAGAGGGATTTCTTTTTCTTTTTTTTTTGAGACAGAGTCTCGCAGTGTCGCCCAGGCTGCAGTGCAGTGGCACAATCTCGGCTCTCAACCTCCACCTCCCGGGTTCAAGCAATGCTCCTGCCTCAGCCTCCTGAGTAGCTGGGACAGAAGCAAGCACCACCAAGCCCAGCTAAGTTTTGTATTTTTAGGTTTCGAGCTGGTCTCGAACTCCTGGTTTCAAGTGACCCACCAGCCTTGGCATCCCAGAGTGCTGGGATTACAGGTGTGAGCCACTACACCTGGCCCAAGAGGGATTTAATTTTTTTTTTTTTTTTTTGAGACAGTCTCACTCTGTCACCCAGGCTGGTGTGCAGTGATACCATCTTGGCTCACTGCAACCTCCACCTTTCAGGCTCAAGTGATCCCCCTGCCTCAGCCTCCCCAGTAGCTGGGATTATAGGCACGTGCTACCACTCCTAATTTTTGTAATTTTAGGAGAGATGGGGTTTTGCCATGTTGAACTCCTGATCTCGTGTTTGGCTGAGAGGGATTTCAATATTTGGAATGTTTTACTTTGGCTGATGTTTGTAACAATATCAAAACTGTGTGAATGTCTAAAATGACTCATTTAAAAAGAAAAAAAAAAGCCAGCTTAGCACTGTGGCTCATGCCTGTATCCCAGCACTTTGGGAGTGGGAGGCTGAGGCAGGCAGATCACTTGAGGCCAGGAGTTTGATACCAGTCTGGCCAACGTGGTGAAACCCCTGTATCTACAAAAATACAAAACTTAGCCAGGAGTGTTGGCACAGGCCGGTGGCCCCAGCTACTCGGGAGGTTGAGGTGAGAGGACTGCTTGAGCCCAGAGGTCAAGGCTGCAGTGGGCCAAGAGCAATCCTTCACTGTAGCCTGGGTGACAGAGCCAGACCCTGTCTCAAAAAAAAAGATTAAATAAATAAATAAAATAAAATAAAGAGAAAAGAAAAAGGAAAACCAAAATTGCATATATATATATATGTAAAACCCGGGATATTAGCTAAAAGTGTTAATTGCCCAAATCCTCTTCCCTGGGGAGAGGAGGTCTGGGGAAGGGGTCTCTGTGTCCCTCACAAATGTCCCAGCAATTCATACCCTGGGCCAGGTTGGCGGGTTGACAATCATTTTCTTTATAGCCTTTTTTCCTCAATGTGTAATTGTACCTTAAAAATATTTTGCTAAACATACGGATGCCCAGAAGCCCACCCGGGACGTTCTGAGTCAGGCCGTTTGGTGAGCGCGGCGCTGGGCTCCTGCACTTCACAAGCTCTGCATCGGTTCTAATGCGCGCTGATGTCTGAGAGTAACCCCTACCCAGGGGCTCCGCCGCGCTGCCGGCGTTAGTCAGGGACCCCCGTGGGAGGCCAAGTAATGATTTTACACAAAGCGCGTTGGGGTTTTCAACACCTCCGCAGCCTCTCAGGGTGCTGGGCGCCTGCCCCGGTGCCCTGCCCCTGGTGCTCCCTGGCCCAGGTCTGCAGCCCTTGGGGAGGCCCGACAGCCGCGAGCCTGGGGCCTGGAATGCAGCCCGCCCAGGCCGCACCCTGCCCAAACCAGTTTGAACCAGCTGCAGGGATGGAGCCGTGGCGCGTCCCCACGAGCTCCCTCTGGTGCCCAAGCCGGGCTCAGAGCTGCTGTTCCCGCCTCCTGCTCTGGAGGCCTCCTAGGGTGCAGGCAGTGGCTCCATCCCAGCCTGGGGTGTTGGGGGTGCCGGTGGTTGCTAGACCCGAAGGTCCCTGGGAGCCACAGCCCCCGTTGGGTCCCACACCCTTCTGCCCCGACGCCATCTGCTTCACCTCTAGCTACAAAATGACTGCTTGTCGGTGTCTTTTCAAAGCCAGTTCTCCCAGCGCAAACCTCAGGCACATAAAGTTCTAGACTAGGCAGTTCCCAAATGTGGCTGCACATTGAAAACTCCTGGGAAACTTCCAGAAAATACTGGCGCCCACACCCCACCCTCAGAGGCTGTGATTTAATTGGTCTTGGGTGTGGCCGGGGCTCACACCTGTAATCCCAGCACTTTGGGAGGCCGAAGTGGGTGGATCACCTGAGGTCAGGAGTTCGAGACCAACCTGACCAACCTGGAGAAACCCCTGTCTCCACTAAAAATACAAAATTAGCCAGACGTGGTGGCACATGCCTGTAATCCCTCCTACTGAGGCAGGAGAATGGTTTGAACCCAGGAGGTGGAGGTTGCGATGAGCCGAGATGGCGCCATTGCACTCCAGCCTGGGCAACAAGACCGAAATTCCGTCTCAACAATCACACAAACACAATGCCCCTAGGTGATTCCAGTCTGCACTGTTCAG